CTTGGGGAGCAGATTGACAACCTGCAGCGGGTCAAGCAGAAGCTGGAGAAAGAGAAGAGTGAGATGAAGATGGAGATTGATGACCTTGCTAGTAATGTAGAGACCATCTCTAAAGCTAAGGTACAAAAGATATGGGAAAACTGACATTAATGACACTAACCCATATGGACACATCATAGTTCACAAAGGACACATTATACACATTAAGTCATTTATTATTTGCAGTTATCCAGGAAGGTAAGCATAAAATAAATATTTAATTATTTTCATTTAACATATAAATAAACAGAAAACCAAAGCACAGCAGCGTATCACCCCATTTATAATAACAGTGCTAGCTTTGGAAAATAGGTCATTTGTGTTCTTCAGTCCCCCAACTGGAGAGTACAACTCTCCCATGTTTTCAATTATCCAATAGCAAGGTTTCAGTGTATAGAAAGGCAATGCAGTAGTTTTTAATATGCCTTTAGAGTATGTACCATATAATTCTTGTGAAATCTTAAAATTGAAACCTACTATTTAACTTTTATATTAATACTGCCCATAGCTTCATGACTAGTTTTTATAAAATAAAAATAAATAAATTCTTCTATATCACAGTGCATATTAGATAATTTGACTTATGAATCAAAACAATTATTAGATATTTCATTTGGGGAGAATTCTTAGCTGCTGCAAAGATCACTATCTTGAAGGGTCTCCACTTCCTTCTTTCGCTTTTTATCCTGTAGGGCAACCTAGAGAAAATGTGCCGAACTCTAGAGGACCAAGTGAGTGAACTGAAATCCAAAGAAGAAGAGCAGCAGCGGCTCATCAATGACCTGACAACCCAGAGGGGACGCCTACAGACTGAATCTGGTAAACCTCCCCTCTTGTTTGGTGCCTAAGAGTGGTGGTGATGATGATATGGTTAAGAACAAATGATTTGGTGGCAGTCTAATAAAAGCAACTGAGATCATGTATGATTCATTGAAAGGCTCAGACTCTCCATCTAAGTGCAAGGTCATTTGGGGACAACACTGGAATAAATATTTTCATATAACGAAACTAAGCTCTGCTCTAGAAAGGCCTTGAATATTTATTTTTCACAAAGGGGATGTTGGAATAGAGGTCATTCCAGCATGGGTTCAGGACTTCTTTGTCAAGACACATTTTTTTAAAAAAAATTTGTATCAACATTAAATTAATGACTAGGGCTATGGACAGGCCTATCTCTCAAAAGTCTATGGAAGTGAAACTATGTAGAATTGGACATTTTATCTCCCTTTTTGACAGCCTTCAAAAGGTTTTGCAACATATAAAAGGCTAAAATAATTAGTTATGGAGAGGACAAAAAATTTGAGCTATATTTATTCATATGGATTGATATGGAAGTTCCACCATAAATACCCAAATTTAGCATTGACTATGAAGATGTCAATATAGAATTCAATAATTTGATATTCATTTAGGGGGGATAAGAATAAAATTTATTTTTAACATGGGTTTGCAGAATATTTTCTTCATTTAAAAAACAATGTGCCATTTCTTTGTCTAGGTGAATTTTCACGCCAGCTTGATGAAAAAGAAGCTCTGGTGTCTCAGTTATCAAGGGGAAAACAAGCATTTACTCAACAGATTGAGGAATTAAAGAGGCAGCTTGAAGAGGAAGTAAAGGTAACAATTATTCTGAGTTGACCATAAACAGATCCAGTTATACCAACTTTTAGACGGTTTTGAATTGAAACTTAAAAATTAAACAATTAAACATCCAGTAAAATGAAGGCATAACTATCTCCACAGGCCAAGAATGCCCTGGCCCACGCCCTGCAGTCCTCCCGCCATGACTGTGACCTGCTGCGGGAGCAGTATGAGGAGGAGCAAGAATCCAAGGCGGAGCTGCAGAGGGCGCTGTCCAAGGCCAACAGTGAGGTTGCCCAGTGGAGGACCAAGTATGAGACGGATGCCATCCAGCGCACAGAGGAGCTAGAGGAGGCTAAGTATGTGCACAGCACTGAAAGAATGTGCTGAAAATTTGGCACAGTCAGTGAATTAGTTTGACAATGCTTAATTAACTAGTTTCTATTTGCCAGTCACTACCAAGTCCTGAGAATGATTCATGAATAGAGCAAACAGTAGTTCCTACTGCACAAGACTAAAATCCAGTTAAGAAATCAAAAATGGCAAATGATTACTAATTACAGAGCTTAAGCCATATGCCAAGCACACCAAGCTCATCGCTAATTTAGGGTTTTGTGCAGTTCCCTCTGGTTAGAATACTTCCCATACTGGTCTCCCTCTAGTTCATTGTGACTTCTTTCAGGTGTTGTGACTTGACTCAGATGTTATCCCCCAAGGGAGGCCTTTCCTGAATACCTGAAGTAGTTGCCCATAATGTACCCTACTTTACTTCTCTTTTTCATACTTATATTGAAAGTGTGGTCATGGATTTTTCTGACTTGCTTATTGTTTATCTCTCCCACTAGTTTGTAAGCTTTATGGCAGGGAACATTTTTGTCTTATTCACTGTTGTCTCAATGACTGGTTTATAAAAAGAGCTTGCTGATGTTTGTTGATTGAACTAATAGATCACGTTAGTGTGAAGTTTCCAATATGCTTCAGTGTGCTAACAATTTGTGATTGTTATTATGTTTATTTCTCCCTAAAATTTTATATAATTTTTCAGGAAGAAGCTGGCTCAGAGGTTACAGGCTGCTGAGGAACACGTGGAAGCTGTGAATGCCAAATGTGCATCCTTGGAGAAGACAAAGCAGAGGCTGCAGAATGAGGTCGAGGACCTCATGCTTGATGTGGAGAGGACCAATGCTGCCTGTGCAGCCCTAGACAAGAAGCAAAGGAACTTTGATAAGGTGATGTCTGTAGCATTCACTGCTCTCTGTGACTTTTTTCTGCCCTATACAGCAGGTAACCACTCTGGATTTTTCAGATCCTGGCTGAATGGAAGCAGAAATATGAGGAAACACATGCTGAGCTGGAAGCATCCCAGAAGGAGGCCCGCTCCCTTGGTACTGAGCTGTTCAAGATGAAGAATGCCTATGAGGAATCCTTGGATCAGCTAGAAACCCTGAAGCGAGAGAACAAAAACTTGCAGCGTGAGTCCCTTTCACTTTCAATAATATTCATGACTTGGAGGAATCTCTCTCTCATGCTTGTGTTTGACCAAGTTCTTACCTGTCTTTTACCCAAACAACAGAGGAGATTTCTGACCTCACGGAGCAGATTGCAGAGGGAGGAAAACGTATCCATGAACTGGAGAAAATAAAGAAACAAGTAGAACAAGAGAAGTGCGAACTTCAGGCTGCTTTAGAAGAAGCTGAGGTACAGATTGAATTGTATCTTATACACCAACAAATCAGAAAAAATTAAATACAGCTCTGTAGGTTGTAAAAAGATAGACAGAATAAAATTAATGCCTTGCAGAAAAACTTCAGAATGCTTCTTGCTAATGTCATCTTTTGTGGTCTTTAAGGCATCTCTTGAACATGAAGAGGGGAAAATCCTGCGCATCCAGCTTGAACTGAACCAAGTCAAGTCTGAAATTGACAGGAAAATTGCTGAGAAGGATGAGGAAATTGACCAGCTGAAGAGAAACCACATTAGAGTCGTGGAGTCAATGCAGAGCACACTGGATGCTGAGATCAGGAGCAGGAATGATGCCATCAGGATCAAGAAGAAGATGGAGGGAGACCTCAATGAAATGGAAATCCAGCTGAACCATGCCAACCGCATGGCTGCTGAGGCCCTGAGGAACTATAGGAACACTCAAGGCATACTCAAGGTAAATGGCTTCAAAAGATGGACCTGGGGGGGGGGCGGGGCTGGGGATATAGCTCAGTTGGTAGAGTGCTTGTCTTGCATGCACAGACCCTGGGTTCAATCCCCAGCACTGCCAAAAAACAAAAAGATGATTCCAGGACAATTGTAATGACTGCAGCCTGAGAACATGATATCTCAATGATCTCTCATTGCACAGGATACCCAGCTGCACCTGGATGATGCTCTCCGGGGCCAGGAGGACCTGAAGGAACAGCTGGCCATGGTTGAGCGCAGAGCCAACCTGCTTCAGGCTGAGATTGAGGAGCTGCGGGCCACACTGGAGCAGACCGAGAGGAGCAGGAAAATCGCAGAACAGGAGCTCCTGGATGCCAGTGAGCGTGTCCAGCTCCTCCACACCCAGGTGGGATTTAGAACAAAGAACTCCCCTGTTGGTTGATGTTTACATGCCCAGAATATACAGGCCTGAATTTTTTATATGACGGCCAGGTTTTATACTTTCATCATTTTTTTTACTTTATTATTGAGAAAACTTCCACTATTTTATGTTAAACAAATATTATTGACTCACTTCCTATAATAATCTAAGGCTAACTCATTGTCTATTATTTTTTAAGTTTTACTGACTCTTCTATTAATATTGACATTTTATTGTGCAGAAATTGATTCTTGTGAACATTATTATTTTATCCCTGTGAATGGTTTCACTGGTAAATGATAATTTTAATATTATACAGCTATTTAGTCTGCTTATGAAGTATATTCTTGAAGATGTTCAATATTCTATAACATTTCTATTTTATTTATTTGCACTACATAACAAAATTCCTTAATACTGAAAGCATTTCTTGTAGTTTTTAACCTAATTTTTTTTCAAAAAATGGTACTTTGATAGCATAATAAGAAGACCACATGTATATGTTATTTTAAAATAGAACACTAGCCTGATCAACACCAAGAAGAAGCTGGAAACAGATATTTCCCAAATGCAAGGAGAGATGGAGGACATCATCCAGGAAGCCCGCAATGCAGAAGAGAAGGCCAAGAAGGCCATCACTGATGTGAGTAGCAGGCATAGTTCTCCATTAATTTAGCAGTACGTCTGCCTACAGCAATAGTTTTCTTGATTTTTTTGGTTTATTTGCTAACCAGGCTGCCATGATGGCTGAGGAGCTGAAGAAGGAGCAGGACACCAGCGCCCACCTGGAGCGGATGAAGAAGAACATGGAGCAGACAGTGAAGGACCTGCAGCTCCGTCTGGATGAGGCTGAGCAGCTGGCATTGAAGGGTGGCAAGAAGCAGATCCAGAAGCTGGAGGCCAGGGTGGGTCTCCCAATATCTATTTCCTTCTGCTTCCAGTGCCTGATTTGATTAAAGTTCTTTCTAAGAGCCTACCTATTTGCAGGTGCGTGAGCTGGAAGGGGAGGTTGAGAGCGAGCAAAAGCGTAATGTTGAAGCTGTCAAAGGTCTGCGCAAACATGAGAGGCGAGTGAAGGAACTCACTTACCAGGTACAGCATTAACTTTTATCACCTAAGCATTCTTCCAAATCAATGTGAAATGCTCATATACAATGATACAATAGCGCTTTAGAAATAAGGTCCTATGGTTTTTATGATCTTTCAGACGGAAGAAGATCGGAAAAATATTCTCAGGCTTCAGGATTTGGTAGATAAACTTCAGGCAAAAGTGAAATCTTACAAGAGACAAGCAGAAGAGGCTGTAAGTATCTTTAAAGTAGAAGGGAAGAATGAAGTCCTTGGGTTAAGAAAAGCTAATGGGTATTTAGATTCATTATCCTGTTCATTTTTGTAGTTTTATTTCTTATCATTTGTAATATCAAAAGCTTGGTTTTAAAAGTTAACTTTCACTTAACAAAGAAACAAAAATTTAAAAGCAGAAATAACACAGGCCATAATCTCTGGTCATTGTCTGCTAAAATTGCCAAGTGAGGGCTGGGGATATGGCTCAAGAGATAGCATGCTCGCCTGGCATGCGTGGGGCCTGGGTTCGATCCTCAGCACCACATACAAACAAAGATGTTGTGTCCGCTGAAAACTAAAAAATAAATATTAAAATTGCCAAGTGATGAGAAAATATAAACAAAAATCCCTATATTTAAATGCTAAAGAAGAAATTTTCCTTTATATTTCTTTAGATAAATTTAAAATAAAAATCATAATTACTGAATAATTAATTATAAATAAAACTACAAGGAAGATGCTACTTTTACAAACCTACATAATGAAGTCAAAGCTATTGACTGAAAGTTACTTCATTGCTGTGTGTGCTTTCATTATGAGTCAAAAATAAAAATAAATTAATAAGTGGACAGTGTAATCCAGAAATTATGAATAACAAAACAATGGAAAAAAGAAGCACTATTAAAAAAGGTAGAAATTGATAAATTGATTAACTAGAGTGTAATATTTTCTAATTTGACTATTTTAGTTATATCTAATAACTTTGGGGAATTGATATACTTTTGAGTAGTTTAATCAAGGGGAAAGTGAGAGAAAATATAAACTCACAACATTATAAATAAGAAAAGAAATAAACCATGGACATAAAAAAAATTGGTGTAATTACCATGTAAACCTACCAAAAAAATTGAAATCCTGAGGAAATTTATGATTTTTCTAGGAGAATATAAATTACCAATTTGGCTGGATAAGTTATTTCAGAATTACTTCTGAAAATGGACCCAGGACCGGATAGGTCTTTCAAAATTTCAAGGGACAGATAATCCCTCAGCTATGTAAGCTGTTCAAGATCATGGGAAAAGACAGAGAGCTTTCCAATTCATGTTAAGAAGCCTGCATAACCCTCATACCAGAACCTGTCCAAGAGAGAACAGGGGGAAGAAAATACAGGCCATTTTATTCATGAGTGCAGTTGTAGCATGGGTAAATTATTAAGTTGTAAGACCCTTACTTTATTAAAGAAAATTTCTATTGGTATTTAAATAGGCTTAGTTCCTACAATGTAAGGATTACTTTATATTAGGGAGTCTGTCAGTACAATTTTTACATCCAAAGCAGGAAGAAAAAAGTGAATGTATTGTGCCAAAACATTCATAGTAAAATACATCATTTATTTCAATTTTAAAAACTATTATTAAATTCATCCTTAATATGATATAGAATACTTAATTTTAGGGAACAGTCATCATCTAACATCAAGTATTAACAACTTTGACTTTAATATTCTTTCCTTCTCCTCTGATCTTAACATTTTTTATTATTCTATTTGTGGTACACATCTTTTAATATACTTTGGTTTAAAAATTAAGAATGTGATTATTTATGAGGCACCAAGCCCCAGTTAAATCACAATATTAATTTCAGTGATAAGCAAAATCTAGGAGATGGTAAGATTCTGCTTATCTAAAGATGCCAAATCCTTTCATCCCTTAAGTCTTTAGTCTAGAAAGATGTGCAGTAAGGGCTTCTTACAATTCCATTTTTATTCTCAGGAGGAACAATCCAACACAAATCTATCTAAATTCCGCAAGATCCAGCATGAATTGGAGGAAGCAGAGGAAAGGGCTGACATTGCAGAGTCTCAGGTCAACAAATTGCGGGTAAAGAGTCGGGAAGTTCATACAAAAATTATAAGTGAAGAGTGATCACGTCCGGATGCAATGGAATGACCGAAGAGAGGCACAAAATGTGAAGTCTTTGGTCATTTTCCTCTGTAATTTTGTCTATTCTACCCTATTGTGAAGGAAATAAAAAAGTACAGAATACTTTGCAAACCATATCCTTAGGCTTTGTTTGTTTTCTCTCCTAAAATGATGTGAAAGTTTAAATAATCTCAAGCCTCTTAAGCAATCACATTTAACCTGCCACTATGATAATACTTGAAAACTATGAAGCTGTCACTTATCAGAGAAGCCAGTTCTGGTGAACAGAAATCTGGATATAATTTTTTTTCTAACCTTTCCTGATATTTGGGGTATAGTAAAATCCTAGAAAGTTCCTGCTTCCTCTAATTTTTCAGGTCTACGCAAAGAATGGCACTAGCTGTATTTTCACATGGGCAATTCAGACTGAACCACATCATTAATTCTCCTTGCTTAATAAAGAACACAAATGAAAAGTATTAGTTGGTACATGAAGATTTCCAATATTAATACTAATATGCTATGCACATAGTGTGGGTACAGTTTGATATGATGAATGAGATGTGACCTTTCTCCCTACGAAAGACACAGGGTAGCAATCAAGACTGGAGCCATAGAGATTATTACTTTATATATTATAATATTTCCAGATTTCATGGCCTCCTAGATAATCATGTAAAGAATCAAAATCAACAACAAGGATATCAATAAAATGTATACACACATAGTGATGAACATGAATTTGGTACAAAAAGTAGATATGGTAGCTATCTAAATTACTTAGAGGAAATTTCTTGGAAGATTAAGATTTTTAAGCTAGATACAGCTGAGATACATAAGCCAAAAATATAAACTTCCTGGACAGTATTAAAGAAAAGCTAAATGCTAACTTCCTGTAAAAATAGAAAGCAAGAATAACTTGGCTTCAATGGCACCATGTGAGAATGATTTAAATTAGACCCGTGGAGGCAATTTAACAGGTAAGTTGGATTCATGCTGTAACACCAGATTTAGGAAGGGTGTGGGATTGCTCTTCTCACTGTATCCGTCCCTTTTTCACTTTGTTCCTATATCACCTGCAAATGCTGAAGTGCCTCTTAACTTGGCAGTAATTACCAAAAAAAAAATTAATAATAATAATAATAAAGTCTTGCTTTCCATTTACTGAATAGTTTTTCTAAAGTAGAACAAAAGTCTGTCTAAAATTCCCATCAAATCCTACTGAGAGCATTATTAAAATGTTCTCTCTTCCTGAGAATTATTACCTACATTTTACAGATGCCTAATAAAGAAACAGACATTTAAGAAAACAAAATGATGTACCTGTAGTAACAAAGCGAGTTAACAGTTGACTACAAAAGCCCCTCTTGGACCCACATCCTTTGCAAGACTCTTCCTGATGGCTTTAATTGACTCCAGATAGAAGAATTTCACCAGGAAGTGTTTGGGACTGCAAGTCAGATGACTGGGGTCTGGACTGCTGTGTGATTTGTGGAAAGTTTCTTCTATTCTTTGAATTTCAGTTGCTTTATTAGTAAAATGACTAGATGGTCTCTTAAAATAATAAAATAAAATGAGGATTACTACCAGCATCTCCAGAAATCTTTTTCACAAGGCAATCCACCTACTTCCATTACAACAATTGAAGTATAAGGACAATAGTACAGATATGGCTGCAAACGGGATACAGTGGGTCTCAGGACCAGTCAAACAATGTAGACAGAGATGCAAAGTCACAGAGACAATAAAACAAACATGTTTTAAAATCAAAAGTTAAAATAGAAAGCAATGTCAAGATATTATTTTCAAGCAAAATGTTAAATATATATTTTAGGTATCTGATGGAAAAGAATTCATACACACTCATATTTACAGGGAGAAATGCTCTGTTTTAAATATTTTTCCTATGTTCAGTTTCATAGAGAAAAAAGGATTTAACAAACAATTTGCATTTTTAAATATGAGAAAAACAGGACATTTTCTGCTCAGTAAGGCAGTTCAATTTTGGAACAAGTCTGAAGTGGGAATGGAATGATTTCACGATGAATAAAAGGTGAATGACTGGAGGAAACAAAAGAAGCTGTCTATCTTTGGCTGCTCCTTGTGAAGCAAGTTTTAAAATAAGTTCTGAGGCATAATTGGAAAAGCACAATGCATTGCAAAAAAAAAAAAAAAGTTTTCTTGGGAGGAACCAGCAAACTCCTTCTGATATTCTGCTAAAGAGCAGAAACTTTCCTCCCTGGTATAATATTACAATTGTAAGGCAGTTGAAAAGACTTTACTCAGGCTGCTCAGTGAAATAGAAGAGCAGTAGGCAACAAAGTCCAGGCATTCCAGAACTTGGCTGTCTTTGAAACAACACCTTACATTATTCCAAGGGCAGATCACTTTCAGATTGCCAACAACTCAAATTATTTATAGGAGATTGGTTCATATACTTAACCCAATGTGAGAGGAAATATTTCTAATTATATCCAGACATCTTTAATATGAGGGGAATTAGGCTTGGAGACCTTCTTTGCCAAAAACATGTTTTGCCAAATATGTTTTAAGAAAGAGGAGGAGGTTACATGTTTTCCATATTTGAGCCTATAAAAGTACTCTTGGAATGAGTTGACATGTCTTTCCTCATAAAGCTTCAAGGTAAGAGTGTGTGAGGACAGAGCTGTGTCTGGAGGACGTGAAGGGATGCTGGCTGCTTGCATGCATGCCACACATCCTGGTTCCCACTGTCCCTGGCAACCTTGCCAGTGAAGCATCAACCTACCCCACAGCAATTTTAATTAGATGTTGTAGTCTACCCAGTAACTTCCTGGTTCCAAATTAAGAATTATAATAATATTATTAGTAATTATTAGGATTTAATCAGAAGAATTTTATTCTTTTTCTTACAGTTCTGACCCAGGTCAAGGTTGCATATCTAAAGGTAAGAGCCTTCCCCCCTCCCCCATTCCTCACAGAGTACAAAAGATTTTCTGCAATGGTTTGGATGGGGCACGGAGTGGGTGCTAAAAAATGAAAGTGTTTCAGTTTCACGACTGATCATGCTTCTTTTTGAAAAACTCTAAGGGGGACTTTATAAATCATTTCTAATTAACTCAGATCCTTTGCAATATATGAAAATGTTTTTTCAGTCTTTGAGAGTTTCATGTAGAGTTTTTCCTATTTCTAGCATTGTAGTTTGTCTTTTAAATGATTATAACATGCAATGTAATAATTCAGAGGGGTTTTCATTTATAGGGAAAATGTGAACTTTCCATGCTACAGTTTTTTACTCAGAACTATATGATATAAAAACTGATATAATATCTAAATGGATGCGCAGAATGGTCTAAATCCTTGCCTTGGAAAAGCTGCTTAACTCCATGTTGTTTCACAATGTGTAAAATAGAAATTTTAAAAAATATAGTATTAAAATGATTTTCAGCAAGAAAAATCATTTTAATGTGTTAGCTGAGTCATTATAATTTGAATGAAAAAATGTGAAATAGTTTATTCAAGTGAGCTTTCCTGGAAAAGGTATCTTTGTTATTACAAAATATATATGATGACCAAGGACAGTATTTATTAATGTTAGTTAAAGCAGCAAAAGATGAATTTGAAAGGAAAACGTTTGTAAAATTTTTACGAGAATATTAGTAATAAGGTAAGAAAACATGTGTAATATATTTTATAATAAATCTTTGAGAAAATACTAAAGACTGATGAAGAAACTGGGTTTGTCAGAATTAAGGGGACAAGATAAATTGATGTATAATAATTTTTTTCCCCAACAGAACAATGTGAAGCATAGCTCTTCACAATTCCACTTTCTTATATATCAATCTTTGTAACTCCCAACTTTATAATAATAACATTTTTACTATGTACAAAATAGTTCCTAAAATTTTGCAACATATGCTTCTCATTCTTTTACCTCAGAAAGCCAGCCCTGAGCCCTTCTCTGCATCCAGCATGTAGTTTTAGAGGTACAAAGGATGTGTAAAGAGAAGAATGCTCCCTGCCTGCAAATTGCTTATAATTTAATAGGGAAAATAAAAATCATGCCTGAAAGATCCCACAGCATCCTGCTGTCATCTTGGCTTTGGGTTCTGCATAAACCAGTGATAGGCAGCTTATAAAGATCAATATATAACAAATGAAACACAGACAGCAGTCAGGATAGATCTCCCAGTAGGTGAGCCAGAAACAAGCATCTCTTTCCAAATGCATGATTGACTAGCTGTCATCACTGGCGCAGAACAAGGAGACTGATATTCCACCTACAACTAAGCCAGGGAGGTGGTGATACCCAATGCAGTGCTAAGCACCCCACGGTCAGTGAATTTAAAACAAACAAAAAAACTCTTTTAAAATGTGATGAATCTAATGGTCTAGCTTATGAATTTCTATAATTTCCTTTCTTTCTTTGCCAGGAGGCAGGGTCCTTAATTGGGCTGCCATCAATAACCTGCAGCCATGAGTTCCGACGCTGATATGGCCGTGTTTGGGGAGGCTGCTCCTTACCTCCGAAAGTCTGAAAAGGAGCGCATTGAAGCCCAGAACAAGCCTTTCGATGCCAAGACATCAGTCTTTGTGGTGGATGCTAAGGAGTCCTTTGTAAAAGCAACAGTGCAGAGCAGGGAAGGGGGGAAGGTGACAGCAAAGACTGAAGGTGGAGCTGTGAGTAAAACATCTGCAGTTGATTAGACTGTTTGAACTACACCTTGTTTGGGGTTAGGTTAGCTGACCATTATTTTCTCATCTGGTTTCTCCTGTTTTACTGGGTAGACTGTAACAGTGAAAGATGACCAAGTCTTTCCCATGAACCCTCCCAAATATGACAAGATAGAGGACATGGCCATGATGACCCACCTGCACGAGCCTGCTGTGCTGTACAACCTCAAAGAGCGTTATGCAGCCTGGATGATCTACGTGAGTTCTTATGGCCTTCAACTCATAGGGAGCTAATATATATTTTTTAAAGAGTAAATGATTAAAGTTATTGACAAATAATTATACTTCTTTAAAATATGTATTTTCTTTACTTTTTTGGTGCAGACCTACTCAGGCCTATTCTGTGTCACTGTCAACCCCTACAAGTGGTTGCCAGTGTATAATGCAGAGGTGGTAGCAGCCTACCGAGGCAAAAAGCGCC